GAACATTATATCTCCAAAGAGCCCTATATATATATATATATATATATATACACACATGAATGATATATATATATATATATATATATATATATATATATATATATACATGAAAAATATGATAATTATGATTCTACATAGATGTTTTATGACACATAAAAAATATTTTTATAAAAATAAAAATTATTCTGGACTACTGGTGCAAGTGGGAAAAGCAAAAAAAAAAAACACTATCACTTAACTATTTCAAAAGTGCTTTATGAATATGCTATGAAGTTTGTCTCACGGACAGCAAAACCCAGGATAAGAAATAATGAGTGTTTTCAGTCTCAGCGAACCAACAGTCATGCAAAAAGGAGGCCAAGGTGAGTATAAATAGCCAGTGTTTAGACAGGGATTTATCAGTAGGTCTCACAGAGGGACCCAGAAATAGAATCGTGAACAGATAGTAAACGTGTCTCTGCAAAATACCTCCCTTGTACACGTGATGACATGTACCACACGTCACGTATCAGCCAATAAAACAACTTAAACTCAAACCTAACTCCATACGGGTTTTTCATTTGGGTGAATTGTTCTCATTGTTTAAACCTATGCTCTAAGTTTAAAGTATAATTATTGCATGTCATTCAGAACATAGGTGTAGATAAGGGGGATGTTAGAGAAACCCAAACGTTCCTCACCTGTAGAGAGAAGGGTCCCGTTTGAGGATGTCCATATTGATGTGCTGCTCCATCAGACTGTAGAGGAGGATGGGTAATGAGGTGAAGCTGATATTGTACAGGGTCAAATATGCTGTGTCATACAGTGGCTGCAGAGGGACAAAAACAATTAAACCAGTTTGCTATTGTTGCTGTAAATCAACTGTTAAGTTCAGTGTAAGCACAGAAGAGAACGTTTTTTCTCTCAACTACATGCACTTTCATGTTCCAGGTGTCATTTTAAACATCTATTTGAAATGTAGTCTAATAGTGATGGACCTTTGAGATATTTTAAAAAAGGAATGCGTTTACCTGCTGAGAGAACCCACAGAAGAACTGATAGAGAAACTGAGGGAAGATGAAGCACACATTCTATGGAGAGAAAACAGAACCTCAGTACCTGATGAACTAAACCCTTTAGATGGTTTGTTAGTGTGTGTGTGTGTGTGTTTGAGAATTCTGTTTGCTAGCGCTGCATTAGAGTTGCATTTTCAACAAGATTGTTTAGTGGTTTAGTCCGAACTCCTGGGAAAAAGTAGCATCCACACATATTAAGCTACATTTTTTCTGTGTTTACAATCGCAGGCAATGTTGTTTGTGTTGTGTCAGCTAGCAATCAGCTATTTTGCTTGAGATTATCTTTTTTATTTTGTGCGTCTACACATTTTGTTTGTTTGAGTTCACCTTATAGAAGAAGTATTGGACCAGCTCAGCGATTCTGATGTAGTAGTAGTGCCCGTGAACCAGCAGCATCTTCTTCAGGTGTTTGAACTTGGTAATTGCATAGTCGCTGTTACGGGCCGCCTGACGCCCCTCTTTACCCATGATCCCTAGAGGCAGAATAACCAGTCAACAGGCATGTAAGATATTGCTGACATAGTTGTTGAACAGAAGTCTATAAGAGAATTACTTCCTGGAGAAGTAATAACTTCGAAAATGTTTTGCTTTTGTCTGCGAGCATGAAATCACCTATGCCCACGTGAGCTTCCAGAATCATGCTGACATCATTGGCTCCGTCACCGATGGCCAGCGTGATGGGGTGTTCTTTTGATGCTTTTATCAGTTTAACAATCTGAAAGAACAGTTTCCACAGGTCAAATCAGAACGGCTGAGAGATTAGATTATTAAGCAGGGTTTTTGGCTGTTTATGTGACTGAGGCAATGGGATAATATCCTATCTATCCTTTGTCATATGAAGAAAATATTGATTTTGCTTTTACACATGAATTGCATGGGATTTTGCTGTTCGTTTCACATCAATAACTGTCTTGTAATACTGTGAGTTCTCTCACTTCTTGACTTTACAGTCTCTGGTTTTCCCAGAAGCCCCAGAGAGTGACTGACAGGTTTAGTGTGCAGTAAATGAGAATGAGAAAGAGACCAGAGTCTCTTTTGATTGCACCATGTAACTCACAGGCTGAGAGATTACAATAAGAGAACGAGGACAACCTTGCTCTGGCAGGTGGCTGTGTTAGTGTAAGTCAGGTTTTATCACCATTGTGGGGACCAAATGTCCCCAAACAGACACCAAGACCTTAAATCACCCTTAGTCAATGGAACCCACAAGGAAAATGGCTTAATACACATGCCAAATAATGATTTAATGAAACATTTCAGATATCAGATTGCACAAAGAAATATGCCAATATGCATTCTAAAACGTAAGTTAATAGCTTAATAATATTAACCTTTAACCTTTACCTAAATGATACTGGAAATAATGAATATGATGTTAGAAATGATGTTAGAAAATGATCTGGTACCTACACTACCATTCAAAAGTTCGGGGTTAGTGAGATTTACTTATTTTGACAGAAATAAATACTTTTATTCAGCAAGGGTGCATTAAACGGAACAAAAGTGACCAGTTTTTATTCCAAAAAAAAAATCTATTTCAAATAATTTTTACAATTTTTGTACTTTGAAATGTTCTATTCATGAAAGAATCCTGGAAAAAAGTATCATGGTTTCAGTGGTTTCAAAGAAATGTTTCATATAAGAATATAAGAATGGTTTCTGAAGGATCACGTGACACTGACGACCGTAGTAATAGCTGCTGAAAATTCAGCTTTGCATCACAGGAATAAATTATACTTTAAAATATATTACAATAGAAAACAGTTTTTTTTTTATGTAATACTATTTCACAATAATATGTTTTACTGTATTTTTGATCAATTAAATACAGCCTTGGCGAGCATAAGAGACTTGTTTCAAAATAATTAAAAAATAAAATCTTACATCTTACCCCAATATTTTGAACAGTAGTGTATACTCTTTGAGACTAACATGCTGTAGTACCTGTGCTTTTTGTAAGGGTGCCATGCGACAGCAGAGAACAGCGCTGCAGTTCCTGCAGATTTCCAGGAAAATCTCCTTGTAGCTCCCTCCGTTGCTGGTTCCTTCCTGTGTTGGTTTCAGTACAGCTGACAGTGTTGCCCCATCGATTATCAGACCATAGTCTTGGTAATCATCTGAGAGCCTGTGGGACCGACACGTATGTGTGAAGGTGTCTGCGCGTGCAAGCATCTATGTGAGCATGTAAATGTATTCCACTGTACCCACCCTGAAAAAATGTCCCTGGTCATGCTGCCATGCTGTCTCAGGACAGTTCTGCTCAGATCAAACAAGACGTCATGGAGACTCTGCTCCTCTGTCCGCTTGGTTGTCAGTTCCAGGATCTGTGTATTGCGATGGAACAACTTGCTAGCATAGCACGTGGCTGCTGCTGTCTCCATTTTGTCCCCTGTGAGGACCCAAACCTTCATACCAGCCTTGTGCAGGGACTCAATGGTGTCAGCCGCTTTATCCTGCAGCCTGAAACATAAAATGATATCCAAGAACATTTCAAGAGCAGCTCATGTACACAATTAACACAATGTCTGTATAATGAGCCAAATTGGGTGCGTATTTACAAACGAACCTTAGCATGATTTGCCTTAAGTAATGACCAATTCAACCCTAACAAATGTTGACAATCGCCATATTACCTTTCTAATGTACGTTTATGGAAGTCCTGAGTGTTTGGATACTTTTAAATGGAATTTTAAAGAAATTTTCAGTTTGCAGAGTTTTTAATCATGTTGCTGTGTAATTTAATTATTTACACTACCGTTAAAAAGTTTGGGGGCAGTAATTTTTCAAGGAATCCTAAAATTATCACTGTAATCCTATGTATCACTGTTTCTGCAAAAATATAAAGCAGCAGAACAGTCATCTGTTGATAATAATAAGAAATGTTTCTTGAGCACCAAATCAGCATATTAGTATGATTTCTGAAGGATCACGTGACACTGATGACTGGAAAAAATACATTTCAAAAGGGGGTCTGAATACTTTCCGTACCCACTGTATATATATATATATATATATTTTTTTTTACCATATTACTTCAAAATATTACTGTTATAAATGTATTTTTGATCAAATAAATGCAGCCTTGGTGTGCATAAGAAATATCTTTCAAAAACGTATTAAAAAATCTTACTGACCTCAAACTTTTGAACTAGTGTAAAAACAAACAGCAGATAAAATTCTTTCCAATGTCACTATTTTTCAAGCTCACATAAAGATAATTGTAATACAATTCCTTTACCGTTTAATTGAAAAACTTGGCGGTGGAGTTTAACATTGGGTCAATTTTAAATAATTATTTTTACAAACAGATTAAGTTAATCTGTCATACTTTGACATAAATAGCAGCTCCCATCATATACAAAGTGACAATTACACAATTGTTGCTTTGACAGCCCAATTGCCTCCATTGTATAGTAGCAGCAGCAAGATTTGGCATAGTATATAGCAATCCTGTGTGCTTTATTCTTTGCGCAGTGCTGGAGTGAAAGTTAATGGACAGTGCTCTGCATGGCTCGATGGCGGGGAGGTCTTCTACCGCAGTGTGATGTCTCAGCCCACTTCACTCAGTAATTAAGCAGCCCAGTAGTCAGGATTCACAGTGCCACTGCTGCCGGATAATTAAGACTCCACCCCCCACTGCACCTCACTCACAGCCCAGCGACGCAGGAAGTGACATTCTCACAAAGACTCCCGGGAAGAAACCACAAGACCTTCTACTACACTACCTATTAAACATTCTAATAACATTAATTGCATTTCACTTAACATCATTCTATTGAAGCTAAACAAATTCCCCAAGTTAAGCAACATTCTAGTTGAGTCATAACATTCCTTCTGACTTCCCCAACATTCTATTTGGCTCCCTATTTTAAAATCTTGGCTTAAAGTTTACATGAAATCAGATTTTATGTTATATGCTTCCTTAAATACACTTTCCTGGCCTTATTGTGCATGATTAATGTACTTCATCTGAAAAAAAGCACTGTCTTCATAATAACATGCTCTGAAATGACTTTGCTTTGCAAATGATGTCACCTAGGCCAAGTGGGCCGGGAAAATAATGTAACCCAATTGCCAAATAGCCATTCAAGGCATCATATTAGGCTGCTGTTAGCGAATGCAGCCTTTCTAAAATCTTGGCAATAGTTAACACTAATTTAAGTAATTTAATGACAGGTTCAAGTTGGTAACACAAATTTGCTGTGTTGACCATCAGAAAGCTGCTTGGTTTGAAAGTGACTTCTGTGTGAGCTGTGCATTATACATTGCTACACTATTGGCAATAGACAATGGACCTTTTTGCCCACAAAATTTTGTCAATGTGACTGCACATTTACGGAGGTAAAATGGGTTGCCATGGCCATTTCATGTAAGCTAGAATGTTTCAGGGATTCTGTTTAAATAAAAAACAAACACATTACAAACAGTCAGCGTTGCCCCTTATCAAATTAGCTCCCTGTATATTTGAATATAACACATGATCTTGAGTGACGTCTTGGAGGCACAAACAGGCTGGTGCCTAGAGGGCACTGATTGCATCTAATCAACACTGCCTGACAAAATAAGTTCCCGTCCAGTAATCACTATTTGTTTGCTCTGTTATCTTCATTGAGGCGGTCAACATGGATTGATGTGTTTATTTATAACATTGGGGTGAATGGCCTCCATAAGTGCATAAGCCAAAACAGTAGTTCATCAGAACCGTGTCTGCTGGTTGCCGATTGATTCAAGAGGGGGTCTAATTATGTTAACTGCTCATTATCAGGACACTGGAGCCTAACGGATGGACTCTATTGATTGCCTATGCAATTAACGTTAACTCACACTGGTTCTGTCAGGGCCGTGGGTGCTCACGAGTGCTTCAAATGGACGCTGGACCTGCAACTCTTCCATCCAGTTGTTCGGCCGATCGGAACCTTGGCGTTCAGCCAGTTAACAATCTAATATTGCTAATGCACATCCATTCTCCATTTCACTTCAGGGAAATGCACCTTGCTTATTTAGGCAAATGCATAATGCACTTTATGGAAAACATAAGATCTTATTAACATGTCGATATTTTTACAGCAACATGCAACTTGGAAAGCAATATCGGACTTGCTCAGAAATGCATCGGATGTCATGGTTCCATATTTCGACACTATGGAGTTTTTGATGGCGTAGTGGGCAGGAGCGAGAGGGAATGAGGCCCTAATTCTTAGTACTGAAGGGTAATCTGCATATTCACAGATGAATGACTTTAAGTGATGCTACCATAACAAACAGCCTGAAAAAAATGAGCTTCTCCGATTCTCTACAGTGACTCCTGTTTAGCTACAAACTTGTAAATTGCTGGGAATATACTGTACAGTGGAGTCCAAAAATCTTAAGCTACAATGAAAATATGGGATTCAAAAACTAATTTAAACCTTAAAATAAACAGAACATTTTTAAAATGAAAAAAATTCCCTCTAAATTATTCACACGTAATTTTTTGCGGTCAACATGGATTGATGTGTTTATTTATAACATTGGGGTGAATGGCCTCCATAAGTGCATAAGCCAAAACAGTAGTTCATCAGAACCGTGTCTGCTGGTTGCCGATTGATTCAAGAGGGGGTCTAATTATGTTAACTGCTCATTATCAGGACACTGGAGCCTAACGGATGGACTCTATTGATTGCCTATGCAATTAACGTTAACTCACACTGGTTCTGTCAGGGCCGTGGGTGCTCACGAGTGCTTCAAATGGACGCTGGACCTGCAACTCTTCCATCCAGTTGTTCGGCCGATCGGAACCTTGGCGTTCAGCCAGTTAACAATCTAATATTGCTAATGCACATCCATTCTCCATTTCACTTCAGGGAAATGCACCTTGCTTATTTAGGCAAATGCATAATGCACTTTATGGAAAACATAAGATCTTATTAACATGTCGATATTTTTACAGCAACATGCAACTTGGAAAGCAATATCGGACTTGCTCAGAAATGCATCGGATGTCATGGTTCCATATTTCGACACTATGGAGTTTTTGATGGCGTAGTGGGCAGGAGCGAGAGGGAATGAGGCCCTAATTCTTAGTACTGAAGGGTAATCTGCATATTCACAGATGAATGACTTTAAGTGATGCTACCATAACAAACAGCCTGAAAAAAATGAGCTTCTCCGATTCTCTACAGTGACTCCTGTTTAGCTACAAACTTGTAAATTGCTGGGAATATACTGTACAGTGGAGTCCAAAAATCTTAAGCTACAATGAAAATATGGGATTCAAAAACTAATTTAAACCTTAAAATAAACAGAACATTTTTAAAATGAAAAAAATTCACTCTAAATTATTCACACGTAATTTGTTAAAAAAAAAAAAACTAAAATCATGCTGAACAACAATACTAAGAATTTTTTTCAATTAAAATTTTCTTCTCAAATTATTATTCACATAACATTTGTTAAAAAAACAATCTCAAATCATGCTGAAAAACAATAAGAATTTTTTCAATTACATTTTTCCTGTTTCCACTGGTGGTCTCAGACATTTTGATTTGCATTCTGGATTTGACTAGAGAAGACTGAACATGAAATTCCACTCCATCACTTCTGCAAAGTCCTCAACTTTGAAATCGTAAGTTTTATTCACTTCAGAAGAAGAATTTTCAGTCAATCAAACTAAGATGGTATTTGTGGTATTTGGTAACTGTTAATCAGGTTGACTGTGAGTCAGGAGGCAGTGATTCACCTATCTTCCACAGCCGTGGCTCCCAGCAGGATGAAATCCTTTTCAATGACATCATAAGCTTCAGCCAGTTTCTTGTCGCGCTCCCGCAGAGCTAGTTTAGCGCTGTTGAGGAGATGGCACGTTTCCTCATACTCCTCATGAGTCAGCTTCTTATAAGCCACACAAAGAGTCCGTAAGCCCTCCTACAGCGGAAAGATTTGAAACAAAAATGTCAGCTTAGCCTGCCAGGCCCCTTTATTTAATAAAAGAGCCAAAATTCAACTCCAGAATTTATTCTTTATCCTAAAAAACGCATTAATCTTGGATAGAACTAAATATATGTTTAACTCAGAATAAACATAACATAAAGGAAAGAATAATACCTGTGCTAAGAAAAGTGAAAATGCTGGCATTATTTACTCACCCTCGTATTGTTCCAAACCTGTGACTTTCTTTCTTCTGTGGTACAACAAATGGAGATATTTTAAAGAATGCTCCCGCTGCACTTTTCTATAGAATGAGTCATGTGGTGACCACAGGATGTCAAGCTCCACCATGGAATAAAAAAAGGTAATTGACTTAGTTTATATCTCATGATTGTGAGTTAACATCTCGCAATTCTGGAAAAAGTCAGAATTGTGAGATAAAAAGTTGTAATTACGTTTTCAAATTTCTTTTTATTCCATGGCAGAAACAGCCTTCCATATAAGCAACATAAAAATAGCCCATATGAATGTCAAATGTTTCTTTTTATGCAAACAAATTTTTCATAAGATTTCTTTGTCTTATTTTATATCCACTGGGCACTGTCTGCTTTTGTTGTATGCAGCGTGAACATTTTGCAAAATATCTCATTTTGTGTTCCATATAAAAAAGAAAGACATACTGGTTTAGAACGACATGGGGGTGAGTAAATAATGACACAATTATCGTTTGTTGTTTATCATTATCCCTTTGAAATGTAGATTATAAAATGACAAAAATGCTCCAGCAGAAAAATTCCCATTAACATTATTTATAAAACACTACTGATAGAACTGTCAGTTTTGGCTCCTTCAGACAGTCTTGAAAACAAAGAGACAATTTTGTCTGTCTCTACAGAAACCTTTTTCACTATGGCTACCAGAGTCATGAATCAGCACAGACGCCAATGCAACCAAACCCTTTTCTAAAGTGATGTCATTCCTGACCCAGATCTGTGAGTAACACAATGAAGTAACATAGAGCTGTGTTAATCTATGACATTAGATCCTTTCCTCATGTCTGGGACCATAATTATATTATTTTTCTGCAAGTGACTTCATATATTTGTCAAGTTTAAGATAATTATATTCATTAGATTATGAAGAGCAAAAAGTACAAATGACTTCTGGGTGCTACAGAGACATTAAACCAATAACGGTTGTTTATAACACTCATCCCTCTTATGAAAGCTAATGAGATCAGTGTTGGGCTGCAGTGTGAGAACACATAAATAGAAAAACAACAGATACATTGTCTTTGCTCTTTCTAGTTTTCTCTTTAATTTTCAGTGATGTTTAGGTACTTTCCTCTTTCAGCTCTCTTTGAGGATGACATTCATGCTAAAGAAAAGCTGCACAAGCAAACACATTTGAGAGGAGCTTTTTCCATCAAGATCTAGGAAGGTGCTTTTGTGGCTTATAAATAGCTCTGCTAAAATAAGAAAGAAGATGAAGATGTTTCCAATTTTTGCTCACCACAGCGTTGTGCTCTACTCGCGCTCTGACCTGCTCCACCTTCCCAGAAACCACCCGTGGGAAAACAGAAGAATCTGCACCTTTACAGAACAAATAGTACTCTCCTAGAACAAACAAACAATTATCAACACAAATAAAGTGTTAACAGCTATAATAAATAAATTGTACAACCACCAGCATGTCATGCTTTCAATACATTTATAATATGTAAAGCAATCTTTTTTATTCATTCATGCTTAAGGTCAACATGAAATCAAAACTAACCTATTTGTCTTTGAGATTTTATATTTTTTATCCTGTTCCCCTCTGAAATGTATCATAATACGATAGTAACACAAACACACACAAACGTTGTTTCATGTTGACTTTAAATTAGCACATTAGTTATACTGTCAGGCTCTCAATGTATTCAAGAATATCCTGTTGTCAGTTGTGTGTGACTGAATGTATTCAGGAATCATACAGATGTCTAAATCTTGCTCTCATTTGTATGCTAGTAGCACATTGACCCACTTGCATTAACTGGCCCCTTCATTTGGGCACACATGGTGACTCAGACACTTTCAGTGGAATGTGTAACAGTCACTTGCAGTTCCAGAATGAGTGTGCATGTGTGTGTTTACTCAGCAATGCTTTGAGGGCAAAATTATCCCCAGACGTTAGCTAAATCCCTTTGGGGATGTTCTCAGATGGGAAAATCATTCATAAATAAAGTGAATTATGGCTGCCAATCTCATAAATTGTATTACAATTATTACATGACATGCAGATTAATCAAATCAATTACAATTAATTGCACATATCAATATTTGCAGAGATCATTCAAAGACATTATATTGTGGCAAAATAATACATTGATTAGACATGACAAAATTGCCTTAAAAGTTTATATATTTGTTTTATATCCATTTCATTAAACATAACTCTCAATAAATAAATAAATAAATTGATTAATTCATTTGTAAAAAATGCAATTAACATACTAGTCAAGGGGCATGATTAACTGCTGTATTTTTTAGCACATTTTAAATACTTAATCACATAATTTAACATGTTAAACTGATATAATAAGCTTTCTTTAGGGCAAGAATTAATTATACATAATTATACATAATAATTATAATTAGATTTATATGTCCTCATTTAAATTGCCAAGTAAATATTTGTGTGTGTGTGTGTGTGTGTGTGTGTGTGTGTGCCTACTTAATTTTGGAGATAAATTTGTACCCAAAAGTCAGCTAAATCTGACAAAAATCTCCTTTTGGGGGATGTCCATATTTGTAAAAAGCAAAGTAAATATATAAAAATAAAGTAAATAAAGTTGTTGTTTTTTTTTGTAAAAATGCATAAAGTTTTCTTTTAGGGCAAGGTGTGGGTTAGGGTTAGGTATTTATAACTAACTCTATATAAAATCAATAGATGTCTATTTAATGTCTCCATTTAGATAGCTAAGTAAACGTTTGTTTGTTCATCCTACCTGAGCTCGATCTTACAATAACACTCATTCTCCTCCTCACTGAATCAAAGTTCAACACCTCCAACAGCTCAAATCTGGGAAGAATAAACACAAATGCACACAAAAAGACAACGTTGCAAGTCTTTAGATTTAAAAGGTTAATGGATCTACTATCTGCTACTGATTGGGTCCTTTGGGATACATCTCTATCACAGACAGACAGGCAGAATTTTCATTTGACTGCGCTCTGTGCTGACCCTCATGTTCTTGGCTGTAGGACAGTGTGTAGCTGCACTAATTATGGCTGGTCCTTGTCCTTCAAGGACACACACACACACACTCAGTCACTCATTCCATCTCACAAACACCGGTCCTTTTACAACATTCCCGAAAACAGAGGAACTTCACTGCTTCCCACAACATACACCGTATAACGACGTTACTTTAAAAAACACACAATTACATTAATATGACAACCTGCTGAGTAAATACACAGATGATTACAGATTAGGCTGAGCAAACTGTTCCTTTGCTGAGGTTTCTTTCTCACACAGCATGTGGCAAAATACATAGCATGACAAGAAAATTAAAGCTGCAGTCACCACAGGGGGTGTAAGCAGCCCTGCTAGTGGTGTGGTATGAAGCTAAATGCTTGTTTGTAAATTCTATGTGGATAAAATGTATATATATCTTCTATTAATTTTTTGCTTTTACATTATTCTATTTATTGTACTATTATTTAAAAAAAAAAAAAAAAATTATAAAAATCTTATTGACCCCAAACTAGTTTAGTGTATATCTTGCAGACTATGTTTACATAAATTCTAAAAATGTGTGCTTTAACTATTATCATTATTGTTGTTGTGCGGTTTTTGTTTTTTTTTATTAGATTTTTTCTTATTTTAAAAAGCATACACTGTAAAAAATAAGTGTAATTTTAACTGTAAAATTTTGTAAAAATGCTATGGAAAAATACTGTTAATAGGTTAACAGTAAGTTCCCGTACTATATACAGGGAAAAACAAAGAGTGAAAAATTTAAGGGGGTCTGAATACTTTCCGTACCCACTGTATATATATATATGTCTTCTATTCATTTTTCATTTTTTACTGTTATTCTGTTTATTTTATTATTATTTAAAAAAATACTATTAACAATTATTTTTTAAAAAACAACTATTTTATAGTAATTTTACCTTTATAATTTTTTTTTTATTAAAAATAATTATAAAATAATTTATGGTAATCATCTATATTTAACATATTAATACATGTAGTTAAAATTTTTTTTTTTTTAACTATACTATAAACATTTTTTAAAAGTGTAGCAAATAAAATTGTGGGTAAAACCACTTTCTCAGACTGATAGACCAGCTAACTGTACAAAAATGCTGCTAGTTTCCTGTTGGTCATTGAGCTCATGCTGTTTTCCAGATGGCTCACCTCTCCATCTCATCCTGTCTGTTAAGGATCTCCATGTGACTGTCCTTCAGACGGAGATAGGTGAAGCCCAACCTGAACAGGTGAGAGAAAGGGAAAGCAAACTTAGTTTGTTATTGTGATGAAGGGTTAGGGTTAGACATAACAGTATGTACAGCAAATTAGAAAATGGTGATAAAAAAGTTTGGACTGTTTTGGCAAAAAAATGAAATAAAAAATGTATAGGTGCATCTCAATAAATTAGAATGTCGTGGAGAAGTTCATTTATTTCAGTAATTCAACTCAAATTGTGAAACTCGTGTATTAAATAAATTCAATGCACACAGACTGAAGTAGTTTAAGTCTTTGGTTCTTTTAATTGTGATGATTTTGGCTCACATTTAACAAAAAACCACCAATTCACTATCTCAACAAATTAGAATATGGTGACATGCCAATCAGCTAATCAACTCAAAACACCTGCAAAGGTTTCCTGAGCCTTCAAAATGGGCTTCCATACCACCTCAGCAGTGCCACAAACTGATCACCTCCATGCCACGCCGAATTGAGGCAGTAATTAAAGCAAAAGGAGCCCCTACCAAGTATTGAGTACATGTACAGTAAATGAACATACTTTCCAGAAGGCCAACAATTCACTAAAAATGTTTTTTTTATTGGTCTTATGAAGTATTCTAACTTGTTGAGATAGTGAATTGGTGGGTTTTTGTTAAATGTGAGCCAAAATCATCACAATTAAAAAGAACCAAAGACTTCAACTACTTCAGTCTGTGTGCATTTAATTTATTTAATACACGAGTTTCACAATTTGAGTTGAATTACTGAAACAAATGAACTTTTCCACGACATTCTAATTTATTGAGATGCACCTGTATATAGTGAGAGTGTTATGCCATCCCAAACTATGACACAGTATGTCAAAACCTGGAGGCTAGAGTATAAATTATCGTGGGTCTGTGTGAGTGCATGTTTTCATGTGTGAGTGTATGTATGTACAGTATGTGTCTTGCCTTTTCATGCCCTCCACCAGTGCAACCTCATCTGGAGAGGAGGAGATGTAGAAGGAGGTGGATTTGCCCTGATAGATTCCTCTCTTAATGCCATCCACTGTCTCCTCTTCCTTCACCTGGACTGTGTGACAGAGGCACAGTGCACGGAAAAACAGCTCCTCTCGCTCCTGATGAGACACACATGTACACGTTTGCACTGAAATTCCGCACACAAAACTGATGCAGCTGTGAATTTGCTCCAATATGTTTACGCTTCCTTCTTAAAGCAAAAAGACTTTTTAAAACAGTAAAATATTAAATGTAATAATAGTATGTAATGGCATAAGACAATTCAAGCATCACACGTGCACACTATTTCCCTTTACTTAAGAGCGAGTCATCTCAGTGGAATAGAATCATTCATCTGGTTCCTCACACTCCAGAAGAAAGGAAGATAGAGAGACTAACAAAAAGAGATTAAGTGACAGAGACAGAGAGACAAAAGGACAAAGAGGGGCTATCTATGTCTAACTAAAAATGCAGTCAATACTCATGTATCCAGTAAATATTTGGATACATTTGATACAAGCAGGCATTAAAAATCTCAACAGTGAACTCTGATATTTCACTTTATTATGCACATGCACACAATATCATTCTTACAGAAACTATTTTGAATGGACAAACTGAGTTTATCCAAATTTTTGAACTGTTATTCATAAAAATCACATTCAAAAACACAACTGACGAGATTTGATGGGAAATTTAACAAGTTAACAAATTCTTTAATAGATGTTTTAGCTAATCTGTTCATTTAATGTGTCACGTTGCTCTAAGCTCATTTATCAGAGATAAAATTAGAATCCATCCATCATTCCACCCATCCACAGCTAAAATATTCATGCAAAAACTTGCCTTTGTGATGATATGATTTATCTGTGCAATGAAACATAACTCGCAGCTCATAATAACACGTTCATTCTCTCATTGACCAAAAGTTTTTATAGCTTCTTTTATCAAATGTATACTGTGGTCCAAAATGTATCTGGAGACTTAAGTCACACTTAATAATGATGAAATGTCATGGTATTAGACAAAAAACATGAATTTATCAATTATTTTGAATAAAGATGAGGGAACTTGAGGTGAACAGACTTCATACATCACAGATGTTTAAAAGAATAAAAAAAAAATAGAAAGGTCAACTTTGTTAGATGTGATATTTGGTTTATATATATATATATATATATAGCATTTTTAAGTATTTAAAATATTTACATTTTAAAATAAGTGTTTTCTATTTGAATATATTTTAAAATGTAATTTAATGTGATGGCAAAGCTGAATTTTCAGCATCATTACTCCAGTTTTCAGTGTCACTTGATTTCCTTCAGAAATCATTCAAATATGCTGATCTGCTGTTCAAGAAACATTTTATTATCAATGTTGTGCTGCTAAATAATTTTGTGAAAACTTTGATACATTTTTTTCTCAAAATCAAAAGGATTGTATTTATTTGAAATAGAAGCCTTTTGTAAGATTATAAAAGTATTTCCTGTCACTTTTGCTTGATGAATAAAATATTCACTGTGATTTTACAGCGGTTATTCACAAACAACAAACTCACCTTTCCATCTAGGCCTGGAGAGGAGTCGATCATATCCATTCCAGCAGCTCCAGGTAAGATCTGCCCGTTACAGATGGCATGTGGCACATAAACATGCCCATCCACACAACACTCCCTCAACTCCATGTTGTTTTCTGTCAAAGTGCCAGTCTTGTCTGTGAAGACATATTCCACCTGTGATGGAAAAAGAAGAGAGACAGTGAACCAATAATGACCCAGGGAGCAGTTTTGGAGTGGACTGAAAAGGTTTCCTACCTGTCCAAGTTCTTCATTAAGATCTGAGGTATTGACGAGCGGCCCCTCTCCGAGCTCCTCATCAAACATGTCATCGTCCCACAGGATGAAGTACGAGCCAAGGAACTTCTGCATCTCCACAGTTACATACATGGACACAGGAATGATGTAGTTGAACAGAACCATGAAGGCAAGGAAATCTGTGAATGCCCGGATTAACTGAAGAGATAAAATGCAGAGAATTAAATAGTGTGAGTTTGTGCAATTGTTTTTTATTTGATTGTGTTAATGATATGATAGCATAAAATATAGTTAGTATATACAATGTAGGTCAAAATTTGGAATAATTAAGATTTTTAATGTTTTTGAAAGATGTCTCTTATGCTCACTGAGGCTGCATTTATTTGATCAAAAGTACAGTAAAAAACTGTAATATTTTGAAATATTATTACCATTTCCATTTTAATATATTTTAAAACATTATTAATATTATTACTATAAAGTTATTATTCCTGTGATGCAAAGCTGAATTCACATTCAGTGTCACATAATTCTTCAGAAATCTAATATGTTGATTTGCTGCTCAAGAAACATATCTTTTTATGTATAAGTAGTATATAAATGTAGTACCAAATAAATAAATTTTAATTAAAACATTAATATAATAACATATTTAATAAAAACAAATATATAAATATTTAATAAAAAAAGTTCCCCTTCAGGAACTCGAGCTGCGTCGAAGTCGCTTTGGGAACGCCCTTGCGTGACCGCGTTCTGAAGCACGTGTCAAATCAGTCCAATGGAGTAGCGAGACGTCACGACGTAAGCACCAGAAAGTATAAAAGCGCATCCGGCAAAGCGCAAACCAGCTTCTGCTCTTCAGTAGTGCTCTGTGTATGTGTCTGTCTATTTACTGTTGTCTGTCCGCACAAGCATATATAAAAAACAATCATGAAAAAGTCTATGGCGAGCGAACGGCATTACAAACGCTGTGTTCCTCCCTGAACAATGATATCTGGCGGCGGGGGATACACACGATTTGTGTGTCGTTTGTTTGGGAGCGGAGCATGCACGGTCAGCTTTCGAGGAGCTGATTGTCATCACTGCGAGTTACTCTCGCTGCGTATGCTCCGCTCTCGCCTGGCTGTGTTTGATGAGAGCGGCCAGGCTCGCGATCCCGCTGGCAGCGGTCCCGCTGTTGCCGAGGCACGGCGTAGACTGTTGTCGTGGGGATCGCGGGTGGATTTGGCGGAGGGATCCGAGACGGGCTCGTCCTTTTCTCGGTCCTCACCCGCTAGATCCGCGGCTCTCTCTCAG